CAGTAGGAGCGACGCTCTGTATAGTCTGGAGAGGACTGGGGCTATGTAGTTACTACCTTGTTGGAGTTGACAAGGATAGACCCCATCTGGTCCTGGTGATTTGTATGGGCTGAAGGTAGATATCGCCCATTGCACTCTTTCTACCGTGGTAAGTTTAGTTGCAAGGCTTTGCTCTCTACCAGAAGTGCGTGCTGGGACACCCAATTCCGGTAGATAATAGCCCGCTTTGCAGCCCGGGAAGTGAGTGTCTAGCAGAAGTCTGCAAGTCTCTCCCGGATGCTGAGTATAACTACCATCTGGTTTCTTTAGAGTGCCGATCGTATTTTTGTGTTCCCTATTTAGAGCTTTTTGGAGGCGTACTGCCTCTGGGAGGCTCTTTATTTCCTCGCAGTGGTTTCGCCAGCTAGCTCTTTTGGATTTCCGCAATTCTTTGTTGTAAGAAGTTAGTGCAAGTTTGTACGGATTCCAATCACCCGTATTCTTTGCTCTATTGAATAGTTTTCTGGCTTGGCATCTCATTTGCTCAAGCTTCTTGCTCCACCAAGGCACATCACGTTTGGATTTTACCTTTCCTTGGGGACAGCTACTATTGAAAGCTATTCCAATGTCTGAATGAAGCTGTTCAGCTTCAGTTTCAAGCTCGTGCGCAGTCGTAATTTGACCACCATGGCTGTTTCCACCTTCTTCCATAATAAAGCGAAAGAATTCCCAGTTCGTTTTTCTGGGATTTCTAAAAACTAGTTCATGCTCAGGAAAGTGGCCAATGTCGAATTCTATGTGCATATGGTCCGACATTGATACCTCCCCTGAGACGCGCCAGTTTGTGACAGAAGCTGCCATGTTCTGACTACTTAGAGTAAGATCTAAGACTTCCCCTCTAATAGCGTTCCTGAACGTTGGTTCATTGCCATGGTTTATAATACTTATATTATAACTACTTATAAACTCAAGGAGGTACTCACCCCTTTTGTTGGTGTCGGTGCTCCCCCAGACAGTGCTATGGGCATTTGCATCACAGCAGAGGATCAGGGTATACCACTCTGCCGGCAGTGATCCGTAAGCGCCTTTACCTCAGGTGTCGGGGCTATCTCCTCCTCACCCGGGAAGTACGCGGAGGCAAGTACTGCCTCTTGCACCCCCCTAGGAGTAGGAATTTTGGCCCATACCGCAACGAGATCTGCCGTAATGAACTGTGAAAGAGGGAGAAACGTTATTTTGTTACATAATAGCATCGCCGCTCTTGGGCGACAGCTGGCGGCATAGATGATCTTGCCGTCCTTTATATTAAGGCCTTTGACGTCACCTCTTAATATCCAGGGTTCCTGGATGAAGGCTACACCTAAGCCTTCGTTTGTGAACCTCCTATGTACATAGGTATGTATTGTTTGGATTCAAGAAATATATAATTTTTTGCTCTGATTTGGCCTTTTTCCGGAAATGCCTACAGTACATACATACATACATAAACTAGTTTTGTAGAGAAAAAATAAATCTGGATAGGTACCTCTATATATTAAATACAGTCGCCATTGTATAATTGTTCAATTTACTACACATGTACATCCATATACATACATACATACACGTAATACATGGGTACGTACGCTGAAAATAAATGCGCTCCACTCATACCTCTGATACGCCCATTATTACAACATGGACTCCTCCACTACTCGAAGCCCTCACGCCATTCGCAGCAACAACTTTTAACAGCCACATTGTACCTTTTCATTGTTGTAGCCCTTCATAGCGTATGAGTGTGTATGTGTGAGGGCAGACTGCGACAGCCGCCATTCGAACCAGCAACAAAACAGCTACAGAAACACAACTTTAGCCTTGACGAGAGAGGGTAATGTCAGAGCGCATCAAAGGCAATGGCAAAGCTTTTGGTTGGCTAGCACAACTACCGCTGGCAGCAGATGTTCCTGGTTTTGCTGCTGCTCCTCTATTCGTGATGTTCAGCAAGCGTGCTAGTTTACTGACGTGAGTTAGTTCTGGGCCGAGGAGCCCTTATATATGCATGCATGTATGTATGTATGTACTTTCTAGTTAAAAGTGGCGCGGGAATCCTACAAAAGCAAAGAAGAGCCACGAGTAACAGAAACAAAGGAGAAACTTGTTATGGACTTATGTATGTAGGTACATATGCATGTATATTCGGTCTATAGACCCCATTTCAGAATTTGCTCCATGTTGAAGGCTTACATACATACATTTTTAGATAAGTATGTATGTAGGTACATGTGCACTTTTAAAACCTTCTGTCTGCAATTTTCAAAATATGATTTCTTCATTGCCAATAAAAGCTTGACTTTTCTTATTTTGAGCAAGGAATCCCTACGAATTCTTCATGGCAGAAACTATCAAACTTTTTATTTGAATAGGTACATTAATTACAGATAGGTAACATATATAAAACTATCTACTACCTAGTAATAGAGACCCATTCAATGACTGTAGGGTGAAGAAAATAAAATTATTGAAGCCAAAGCGAAATCGTTGACGAGCATTTGTTCTGATATGCATGCTTGTGTAAAGGCCGGCTTGAGGCGGTAGGGTCGGGGTTGTTTCCCCCGAGTCCGGAAATTTCAAAAGGGCCCGGATTTTTCCGAAAATTAAGTTGGAAGATAAAAATTATTATATTTGCGATTAGTTGTAAATTTAATTATTTAATATGTACAGTGAAAGCTCCCATTAGCGGACCCCGATGGTCACCTACTTTTTGTCCGCCTATGAGAGATGTCCGCTAATGGGAATTTCTAAAGAAATAAAATTAAAATTCAAATATAAAAAAACTGAAGTTGCGCGTTTCTAACACATATAAAACACATGAAAACCAAGTTTAATAAAAGTCAGATATGTAACTTTTAACACTTCCGCCCGCAAGAGTGGTAGGCGTGACAGTTCTTTTCTCAGTGAAAGTAGAAAGTACATACAAAATTTCAACGAAATTGGAAATCGTTTACTATTTTTCAGCAGCTTATGTACATGGGGACATTACACTGTGTAAATTGTCCCAACAAGTTAATGATTATCATAAAATTACAGGCCCAAAAACAAACGGCTTAACTGTTGTCAGTCTCTACTGAAAATGTGAAAGTGCATTTTGACAAAGGCCTGCAAATGTAGTGCGGAAAACTTGGAAAAGTCGTAGCATATAGTCAAAACAACCGCTAATCTGTCCTGGCTTAGGTTTCGCCCGCCATGAGAAATAACCAGATCATTGTTTGTATTGCTTATTTTTCATAAAAATATTGGCGGTATGGCGGCCCGCACATATGTAGTTAGTGCCGGCCCTGCATATGTATTATATGTATGAATGTATTGTCGGAGATCGTACTCTTGCACTTATGTACATACATACCTACCTACATAAATCCAACGCGAAAAAGTTTGCAGAGAAGCAACCGAGTGAGTGAGCAACTTTGTATACAGTACCCGAAAAAAGCAGATTTGGAAACTTTTTTAATTATGCGACTGCACGACCGCCCGCCTGTCCGCTTAACATTGAGCGGCCTTTCAGTTGTGTCAGCGCATTTGCTGCACCTCCACCGCATATGCATATACACTTTAAAAAAAATTTGTTGTTACTTTTTAGGGTTTTAGGTTACTTATTTCCTACATTAATATTCGCGAAATTAAATACTCGATTATTCAACGAATAGTTTGTTTAAATTTCGGACTTCTCAGAGAGTAATATAGTGGTGTGCGTAAATTTACTGCGAAAGTGTGTACAAGCTACAAAATACACATCTGCTGTACGATTTCACTCGTAAAATTGTGTAAAGCCACTAACAAAAACAATTTTTACACATGAAAATGCGTAAACGAGAATATTATATATTTATCGTGTAAATTTACCAAAAAATTTTAAAAGTAAACAAAAACTCGATTTATAGTCGCATTTTCAAACAGATTTTTTAGAGTGTACTTCTGAATGTCTTGCTTTTGCAGTTGCCATTTCTCATTGTTGTTGCTGCTGTTACTGTTGCGGTGGTTGTTGCAGAGTAAATGCCAAAGAAACTCTGCAGGTCACAATAGAGGGTTGGAGCAAGCAGTTTCAGTTTCAACCCTCGCTTGTGCGCCTCATTCATTCGCTCTCTCACTCGCTCGCTCACATGCATTTAATTCATATGTGTTTTTGTATTGCGTTGCCTTTGGCTAAAT